AGGCAAAGCTGTGCTGGCTGCTGCCCCAGCTGTTTGTTTGCAGGAGTGTTTGCAGGCCACGCTCACGGACTGATCACGTGCTGGATGCTGCTCAAAAAGCGCAGCAGAAAGCGGTTCCCCGTGCGGCTCCTCCTCTTCCTCCGCTTTTCCTTCAACTTTTGGGAATCTGGCGGGCTGCTTGCCTTGAAATTGTTCTGAATAAGCCACTAAATAAGACACTGGTCTGTCTTGCCTCTCTAGATCTCAAGATGACTTCCATGTTGACCTGCATCTTCAGGAACCTCCCTGCTTCCTCAGCATGGGCTGCCGGGATCTGTAAGTATCTTTACACTCATGAAAGGCTTGAATTGATGGGCTGTAAAGGTCTGTTTAAGCATTACATTTGCAAGGGACAGTTTTGCCTGAATCTGTCTGTTTGTCTGTTGTTCTTAACAACTAATTCTGTCATTGACATATTTGTTGTTTCTTTTGTCTTCCAATGTGGAAGGAATCTCATGTTAACTGATAGTATATGCTATATTTTTTTTAATGAATACAGTTAAGTTTGAAAAAATTAGGTGCCCTTGTAGTACTGGAATATATATTTTTTAACATTTCTTACAAAAATAACTAGAAGCATTTTTATAACTTATAACCTGACAAACCCTACTTTTTTGGTTCTTGTTTTCCAGCTGCAAGATCACTCAGCTGCTCTTCGCAGTTACAAGCAGCAGGTAAAGTGAAAGCCTCAGGAGTCCCCGTGGGTTTGTGTTAGAGCCTATTTTTGAAGCTGCCTCCCTTTTCCGGAGACTCCTACGTGGATCCCAGAAACACGAGGCTTCATTAATTCCAGAGTGCCTTCCTAAAGTGGCAAGCTAGAGGAAAAACAGTGTTTCCAGCCCTCTAAACATGCGAGTGCCCCTGGCCCCCAACAACTGCCTGCGCTGGGGCTCGTGCCACAGTGTCACCCGAGGGAGCACTATTGCTAGGAGCAGAGAAGGCAGGAGAGGGGATTGTCAATGCTCTGGTTGTGACCAGGCTTCTTGCCTGGGGCTGCCCTGCCCGGCGGAGGTTCGTGGAATTAGCTCTGAGCTCCTGGAAGAGCCATAGGAGGCTCAGGCAGAGCAGCCCAGCGCACACAAGCACGGTGGTCGTTAGATGTGACCGTTTCGAAGCCGTTTGGGAAGCGGGACCCGTTCTGGTGAGGGGACTGATGCTTTGAGCCACCTGGCTAGTGGAAATGGTTCTTGGAGAGCAGCTTGTTGCCTTAGCTCTGCCTGGAGAGCCTCCTCTATAACCATGGGGCAGGGCTGCAGGTTCCCACTCCCGCTTCCCCTTGCTGGAGCGCCGTGTTTAGAGGATTCCCTCTGTTCCTACAGGCCGTTTCCTTTTCTGGCTTGCAAAGGCAGCTGCCTCGTGCTGCTGTGTACACTGTTAAGAGCTGCAAGCCTGGCTGCATTAGGAAATTCTCCTTGAGCTCCTTGCTAATTGCCTCTCCAGAACAGCTCTGACCTGGTAAAGGATGCTGCTTCCTGACTTGCTTTGTCTCGACCCTGAGATATTCCCACACACTTGGAGGAAGTAGCAAGTTACCCACAACAGCTCTGCCTTTTTTTCCCCCATTGCTTTCCTGTAGTAACGAAAGTTGACTCGTTGACTGTGTTTTATTTACCGTGTCTTATCTCATCTTTTCTGGGCAATAAGAGCACATACGTGAGCAGTTGTGGAAGGTGCTGCTGTTTGCAGTCCTTGCTGCTTCCCAAGTGACAGACTTTGGGGTTTTATTCTGTTCTCAGGGCTTTGAATTTGTTCTGCCTCATTTACAACCTCAGTCAATCAGCATTTTAGAGGTATCTTCTGCAGCATTTTTGTCAGTGCTGTTGGAAATTGAAAATTATATGCCTTTGTTCTCAGCTGTGTCCTTGCCTCAGTATAGCTATAGATCAATCTGCTGATGGTGAAAGCTGAAATCCTGTGTCCTTAAATCATTTTTCACAGATGTCATGCTCAACCAGGAACAAGATTTCACCCTCAGTCTCCTACCTACTCTGTTCTTCACTTTTACACCAAAGGGGATTCTTTCTCAAGTTTTCTAGTTGCTTTATCAGGATCTTGCTTTAAGCCTGCTCAGATTACTATTAATAATGACTTAATCTTCTCCATACAGTCCAGCCCAAGAGTAAGAAGACCTTAGCCAAAACTGGTGTGAAAAACATTGTTGTGGTGGATGGCGTCCGTATTCCATTTCTGCAGTCTGGCACCTCGTAAGTATAAAATAATAAAAAATACATAAAGATTAGTTAAAAGTAGATTGGTAGTTAAGACTGGCTAATAGTAGAATCCTTGAAAAACATTGGGTAGGGTTTGCTCAGTTGGTTTCAGGTTACTTTTGTGCAAAACAATGCTCATAACCTCAGGTATGAAGTATTTGCTTACAAAAGCACCGTTCAGAGCAGTTCTGGTGTCTCAGCAGGCCTGTGATGCTGACGTACACTCAGTGGGCTCTGACACCTTCATTAGTTTCTGACACTTAAGTTTCTGCTTCTCTTCTTAAACTTCCAGGTATATGGATCTTATGCCACATGACTTAGCCAGAGGAGCGTTGCAGTAAGTAAACTGAGTGTTAAATGGTCTCCTGCTGCACTCCTGGGCTCCTGGTGTTGGGACAGTGGCTTCAGCAAAGCTGAGAGGTCTAGTTTTGTTGCTGAACAAAACTAATTTTGTGCTTCATTATGTAGGGCCTGCCCCAGGCAAATAAAACTAAAACTCATTTTGCAAGGCATGAAACACTTCTGAATCCCACCAGCCTTAATCAGTGCCCACAGTGGGGTTTGCTGTTTGTTAGTAGAGTTGCCAAGACGTTCTGGCAAATTGTGCAATCTGTTTCCTAATGTGAAGACTTACCTGCTCATTTTCTTTATATTTTTATGAGACTCAGCATGTTCCTACACTAAAAGTAATTGGGTTTTATTACCCCTAAGTCCTTATTCTCTTAATTTTGATGGCAGAATGTTCCAAATTAGGGACTTCTACGGGGGAAGCAGAGTAACTGCTTTCATGAAACTATGTAGTCCTTTCTATAGTGATAGTATTTGCAGTCTGTAGGCAGTTTAACCTTTCATTAAGTCTATATGCCTGCGCGATCTCCCGTGAGTGAGGGGTACAACGTGTAGCTCTGCTGTTGCCCTGTTCTCCAGCCCCGCTGCTGGAAGGTGGATATTCGAGGGCTATGGGAAGCTTCTTGCCTGCGTGGTGCCAATTCTGTGGGTTTCTCTCTGCTCCTCAGGGGGCTGCTGAATCGGACCAATGTCCCGAAGGATGCTGTGGATCACATCGTTTACGGCACCGTTATCCAGGAAGTGAAAACGAGCAATGTTGCCCGGGAGGTGGGTTGTGTGCAGCATTTCTCCTGGCAGCCTGATTTAAGCACCTAGCATCAGAATAATAAACCCCACGAACGAGAATCTATTTTTTTCCAGTTCATTTAAGCATGGTTTAGGAATATAGACTAGTTGCACAGTATCACCCATAAAATAACTGTGTGGGACTCTGCCTCATGTTGAAATCTCCCATAGATAAAGTTTATTTTGATGCTGCGAAGCCTCTGCTTGGTCCTTTCCTGAAAGGAGAGCTTTTGTTAATGATTGTTGATCGCTCAGCTCTAACTGCCAGGTGAACTCGAACGCTGGCCCTCCAGACGTACCTGATGAGATCAGAGCACGCTGCGATACGTTGCATTATTATGGTATCTATTTATTTTAGGTGGCTGGTCAGATACAGCCTTTGAAGGATTTGAAAAGTAGTTTGGATGACCTTTCTTCTGGCAGGCAAAAAAACCCTGCACAGTTCATATCTCATACAAAGCAAGAACCTGGGCCACTAACATAATGTTGTGGAGCTGGCATGTGATTTTTTTCTGTAATCTGGAGCTTCCTGACGCTGCTTGCAGCCACCCAAGGGCGTTACGTAACGGTGCTGGAAAGACTGACGAGACCATCCAGCATCTGCAGCTCCATGGGCAGCTTTAACCTTGTGTCTGCTAGTGCTTGCTTTGGTCACGTACCCGTCAGGTGAGGCTGGTGGTGTAATTTTAACTCGGTGACAACTGTTGAACTTTAAACTAGTTGGCCACGTCCCAGCTAGGCGAGGTCCTGGTGCAGGCAGCTCCCTGTGATGGGAGCCTCCGTGCTCCAAGTGGGCCAAAGGACAAGCTGCTTTCTGGCAAGCTTGAACTTGAACTTCAGGGAGGGTTTTCTGTTGTGTTCAGGGCAAGGCACGGTGCCTCCTACTCAGAGGTCTGTCTGAATAATTCTTTTCATGTGCTGCCTTCACAAATAAGGGGGAGCAAGGATAATGTTGCGTGTTTGTAAGCCCTTTTTTTTTGAATTGTGAGGTGTGTGATTAATTTATCCCTTTGCTGTTGGAGCAGGGAGGCTGATGGTTGCTCCCATAACCTCACTGAGAGCCTGGACAGCTGGGCAGCTGCCTCCTCCTGCTTCCAGCTGGGGAGGGAGGGAATAGCTGATCCCATGGTTGCTTGGGTGGAAACTCGATGCACTCGTTTTCAGCTGGGTCTGCAGATGCGTCACTGACCACAAGGCAGCTCCAGCGTTTGACAGCCCTTGTTTCTTGCTCGCAGGCAGCCTTGGGAGCTGGTTTCTCTGACAGAACGCCGGCCCACACAGTCACCATGGCCTGCATTTCCTCAAACCAGGCTATGACTACAGGTATGCTGACAGGAAGAACAGGTTCTGAAAACCTAAGCATCTGAGGCCAGTTCTGGAAGGGTAGGGGAAGGTTTTTGAATCAACAAAATGTGATACAAATGGAGTATCTGCTCTAGGCCTGCCAGGAGCCTGACACCATTTGTATTCAGCTGTAGTTTCTGCTCAGAGTCTGTGTTAGCCTGAGAGGTAAAGACTCGAGCTTGATAAGGCAGTTACTGCCTTTCAGGAAGGCCGCTGTCATATTTGGTTTAGCCTAAAAAGAGCAAAAAATATGTGACTCGGTTATTATCCTGAATCACTAAGGAGAGTGTTCTCCCAACTGCCGTGTATCACAGAGCAGTGGAAGTTGCAGAGCTAGTGTGAGTCAGAAAGCTCATGTTGAAGCCCTCCGTCTCTGTCTGTTATTGTATAACTTGGCCAAGGCTGGAGAGGGAAATCGAATGTAGTAACATCCAGGGACACCTGCTGATAGGGGTGTGATAAGTGTTCCTTGTCCCGCAGTTCTCATGGGAAACTGTCCTGTTCTGTAGGTGTGGGGCTGATTGCGGCCGGCCAGTGCGACGTCGTCGTCGCCGGGGGCGTGGAGCTGATGTCGGATGTTCCCATTCGTCACAACAGGAAGATGAGGAAGACTATGCTCACGCTTAACAAGGCCAAGACGTTGGGCCAGAAGCTCGCTCTGCTTTCCAAAATTCGCCCTGACTACTTTGCTCCTGATGTAATTTTTTTTCACTCTCTTGCATATTTGAGCTAGTCTATTTTATAAGCAGGTGTAACACTCACTGGAGAGCTTGAGAGGATTTCCAAAGGGGTGAGCTGGCAGTGCCCTTGCTCATGTGGCCCAGGACACCAGTGACCTTCTTGGCCACAGAAGCACATTGCTGACACGGTCCCCATGTTGTCCACCAGGACGCCACGGAGCAGAGCTGCTCCCCAGCAGGTCGTCCCCCAGCCTGGACTGGTGCAGGGGTTATTCCTGCTCTTGCCTTGCTGATCCTCTTGAGGTTCTTCCCTGCGCAGCTCTCCAGCCTCTCCAGGCACTCCTGGATAGCAGCAGAGCCCTCCGTGTGTCAGCCTCAGCTCCCAGTCTTGTATTATCACTCGACAGTGGCTGCTCCCCATTTGTTTAAGTGGACTCTGATATTTGTGCAGCTCTAACCGTAACGGTGCTCTGTTTAATGGAAGGCCACCCCTGATAATTTAGAGCTTATCCAGGCCTGAACTTTAATCGTGTTTCGTAACTGCTGCAGGGCTTCTCTGCTGACTTGGCTTCTCTCCGTAGCTGCCGCTCGTGGCAGAGTTCTCCACCAGCGAGACCATGGGGCACTCTGCCGACCGCCTGGCCGCTGCCTTTTCCGTGTCCCGTTTGGAGCAGGACGAGTACGCCCTCCGCTCGCACACGCTGGCCAAGAAAGCCCAGGACGAAGGCTTGCTGCAAGACGTGGTAGCCTTCAAAGTGCCAGGTAAAGCTGCACCAGGTTCACAGCTGTGGGAGTTCACTGAATCCCAGAACAGTTGAGGTGGCAGGGACCTCTAGGGATCACCCAGTGCAACCCCTGCTCCAGCAGGGACACCCAGAGCACGGGGCACAGGGGGCATCCAGGCGGGTTGGACATC